GCTTGATGAGTGGTGAGTAGGTCTGCGCCCAGGATCCGAGCCCGTGAATCCTGGGCCACTGAAGCAGAGCACATGAACTGAACCACTATGCCACCGGGCCAGCCCCTCAATAGCAAATTTTGTAGTGTTTAGAGGAGTTTCTGTTGTAACTCTGTGTGCTAAAATGTTACTTACTGCATTTCCCCATATTAGGAATTTAATTTTATAAATAACAGTAGAGATTCCTTCAAACATTATGATTTAAAGTTTTTTTTTTTTTTTGTGAGGAAGATCAGCCCTGAGCTAACATCCATTGCCAATCCTCCTCTTTTTGCTGAGGAAGATTGGCTCTGGGCTAACACCCATGCCCACCTTCCTCTGCTTTATATGTGGGATGCCTGCCACAGCATGGCTTGATAAGTGGTGCGTAGGTCTGCACCCAGGATCCGAACCTGCGAACCCCGTGCTGCTGAGGCAGAGCACACGAACTTAACCGCTACACCACCGGGCCAGCCCCAATGATTTAAAGTTTGTTACATAGTTAATTTAAAGATTCTCAACGTTTTGGGGAATTATTATTCCACTGTTTGCTTGATTTTGGTTAGTGATGTTGTTTGAGAATTTTATGATATCCTTTGAAGTGATGAAAGACTCACTAGAGTCCCGTAGAACTGAATTTTTATCTTACTCATTTATTTACATGTAAGGGATGAAAACTAAGTTAAAATATTTGGGGGTTTTCTTCAGATGTGCTTCTAATCTAATCTTGGCTATTTTGCATGCATCTTGTGGTTATTTATGCTGACATACTAGAGGCAAAGCATAGTTGAGTGAAATTCACAAAAAATTCAGATTAAAATCCTGTTTTCGATGAAGGTTTCAGCCGAAATAGGGGCATTGGTGGATTTCTGCTGAACCTGTAGATGCTTAGAAGCAGGAAAAGCACTGAGCCTGAGCAGGCCAGTCAGGTGAACTTCTTTGTTTCAGCCTGCAGGTGGCAACATCATACCAGAAATGAGCTTCACAATTGGCAATGAGAAGGCATGCGGCCTTAAAATTGTATGAGTGCATGTTGGTATCTTGTTAAAAAATGCAGTAATGTATTTATTATCTGAATTTGGATACATAAGCAGACCCCACCTTTGATGTGTCCTCCCTATTTACATATATTTGAATGGCCGCCCCAGTCTTTTGCTATCCCCTGAGTGAGGTCTTCTGGGATTTCCCCTCTCTCTCCCCTTCTGGCTTGCTACTGTAGCTCATGTTTCTTCCTGGGAATAACCTCTCTTTTACAAAAATACCCACTCCCATGCTTCGGTGTGGCGTCCATCCTTTTCACTAGGGAGCGAGTCCCAAAGTTAAGAGAGCAGGGAGAGGAGGAGAGAGCGCTAAGATAGATCTGGACCTTCCTTCTGTCTCTATTGCAGCGACTACCACAAGCACCACTGTGTACTTTCCTCTTGTTGGTTTTATTCACCCTATGTTTACCATTGTTGTCAGCAATGAAGGCTTTGAGAAAAACCCAAAGAATTGTGTACTTGCTTCGGGGAAGGAGCATAGGAATAATTCTGTGCTGTTTCTGTCTTTGAGGAACCAGGGAAGGGAGCAAGTGAGGTTGATCACAAACAAAAAGTGGTGGGGACAAAAAAGAAGCAGACCGCCCAGTCTCTGGAACTGGATAAATGAAAAAGGGATAATAGAAATCCACCCAACTCAGTGTGAGCGGCATCCCTGGGATTTTCCACTGGCCAAAGCCCCGGGCCTCCCAGCACCTCATGCCTCACTTTCCTTTTCCGGGCCACAGTGATTCTCAAGAAAGGCTGGTGGGGAGGGAGTGAGCTGGGGAGAAGAAATACCCGATCCTTTTCTAGGACTGCTCTAGGTAGAGTTATCATCATTGAAAGTAGAAATCTAAGCAAAGATGCCACAGAAATACTGTTATATGAGATGGTTAAGCTCTGTAGTTGTATTACAATATACAATAGTTTTCTTGAGCTTTTTAGCCTGACCCAGAACATACCAGAGCCCCATCCACCATGCATTCTATGAGATAAACATATGTTGAGTTTCAAACAACATTCCTACATTGAGAACTACTTCTGTTGTATCACATCACAGATACAGAACATGTTAAGCTTGAAAAGCAAGTCTTAACCCACTGACATTTCAAACAGGCTGCATAAAATTAAAAACTGCATTTTTAAGACCCATTGTTTTTTGTATGACGATATATATTTGCGTATTCTATTTGTGTATAACAATATTAATTTGTGTATTAAATTTATTTGCCTAAGTAACTGTGTCTTTTAGGATCTATTTAACATAATGGGCCGTGGCTTTATAAGACAGTTTTGTTCTTGCGTTGCACTAGGAAAATGTTCTTTTCTTCCAAATTGCTAGTATTTTACTCTAAAATAGTGATCTCACGTTATACTGAAAATTAAAAAAAAAAATCTTTTATAATATTTAACAACCCCAGAAGTTAGAATGCTGCATGGAAAGTAATAACAAAGTACACATTAGCATTAGCTTTTAATTGTTGTAACCCTTGTATCAATTAGATGAGAATGAGGGCAGTTATTTAGACATGGAAAGAAAACATAAGACTTGTTTACCAAATTGAAAAGAAATTAAGAAAATGATTTTCTCTAAATTACATTTCTACTCAAATGCACTCTCCAAATTCAAGTTATTTTCCTAATTATATTTTTTATGCGTTGAATTTTTAAACCTCTTTGTGCACTTATGCTCTTGATTGGAAATTAAACATCAATCGAGTTTCCATTAAGCTGGAAATCACAGCTTAATCGTAGTTTTTAAAGATGTGATTTGAGCAAGGTATTTGACTTGGAATAATAATAATAGAAATAAAATTGCATCTATTAACTACTTTAAAGCTTACCAAATACTTCCTGTACAGAGGCAGTGTGGTGTCATGGAAAGACCTGAGGCTTTGACTTCAGACCTGGGTATGAACCCCAACTTAGCCATTTACTTGCTATTACTCACCCTTCCTGAGGCTCAGGTTTCTCATCTGTACAATGAGGATAACACCTATATTGAGATGTTCTTGTGAATATTAAACAAGAACAAATGCATGCAAAGATCTTAGTGTGAAACAGTACAAACCTCAATATCTAATCCTCACAATTTTAGTAGGAAGTAGGCTTTATCTCTATTTTACAGATGAGTCAGCTGAGGCTAGGTAACTGATCCAAGGTCACCAAATCTGTTTTATGACTGAGGCCAGGACACTTCCCTCCTCTCAGCTGCTTCTGGAACAAGACTGCAAAAACTGATAAAATACTCAGCGTCGATTGTTAGAAGTGACCATTCAGATGCAATCTAGCTTCCCTTAAGCCCTTTATACCCTCTGACATGCGTGTGATACTGCATGACTCAAGGCTGCTGGTACATAAGCTGAAACCCCATCCTTTTCTCTCCTGCTCACAAAAGCCCAAGGAGGGAGAGTGTCTCTTAATAGGGATAACCTGCAATCCACCCCATTCCTGGCCTCCCTAGTATTTTATTACTGAAAGAAAGTTTCTTTGAACACATTTTACAACTATTGCAACCCATCACAGTTGGGAACCGCTGCATAAGATGCAGAATAAGTAGGTCATTTTGTAGTAGAGGGTTCCTATGGGAGCGTGATGGGAAAGATTGGTGGAGCTACTAGGAGTCTACAAAGTTAAGACTTGATCTTGTAAGCAATCAGAGGTTCTTGAGTAGGAAAGCAACAGGATTCCAGTCGTGGTCTATAGGATGGTTTAGAAGCAAAAAAGCTTGGAAGCCAGGAGACCAGTTGGACTATTGAAGTGAACCAGATCGGATGAGATGAAGGCCTGAACTAAGGCAGTGGCAGTGGGAATGGAAAGGAATAAACAGATACAAGAAGACTTGTGACTAGATATGCATGGATGAGAAGGAGGGAAAGGGGTCAAGTGATAAGCAGAACTTTCAAAATATGCTGTCAGTTAGGCAATAAGTGTCCTTCTTTAATTATATTGTGTGTAAATGTATAAAACGATCTTGCAGCCCCAGGACTCAATATCCCATTGGTGGAAAGGAGACAATCCAGAGGATGCTAAAGGACAGAGAAAGCATAAGCTTAGAATTGGACATTTACAAGACATAGTTCATAAAACATTAATACAGTCTTTTTTTTAACCAAGTTGTTGCCTTATGGAATTGTTTGGGTAGGCTTTTATGTGACGTTGTAGTGAGTCATACAAACATGCTGCTATCTGAATTTTGAACTTGATTCTGGAACATTACAAGTGAGTGCCCTGGTGATAGGGAGCGCTTGGTGAGTTGCTACCCTTAACATCTGACCAGCCAATAACTAGAATGTTTGAAATGACTAAGAAAATATTTTTTTAAACCTTGCATTGAGGTCATCTGATAGACCGTGTGCCCTGTGCCCATGGGTGCAGGCTCCTTAAGGGCAGGGATTTTTGTTTTGTTCACTGCTGTATCCCTAGCAGAAAACAGAGCCTGTCACTTAGTAGATGCTCAATAAATAATTGTTGGATGAGAAAATGAAGCCAGGGATCGTGACTGTCTGGCTCACCACTATAGTCCAAGTGCTGGGCACAATGCTGATTGCATAGCAGGAGCTAAATAAAGGTTTATTGAATTCAGTTGAAATGAACTGGACAGCATTCAGACTAGTGAAACAAGTTTTATTTGGTTTTATATTGTGTGGAATACAGTAAAATAATGTTCTGTTGATAATTCTTTTTTTTTTTTTTTTATAATTTTATTTATTTATATTTTTATCCCCAAAGCCCCAGTAGATAGTTGTATGTCATAGCTGCACATCCTTCTAGTTGCTGTATGTGGGACGCGGCCTCAGCATGGCCGGAGAAGCGGTGCGTCGGTGCGCGCCCGGGATCCGAACCCGGGCCGCCAGCAGCGGAGCGCACGCACTTAACCGCTAAGCCATGGGGCCGGCCCTGTTGATAATTCTTTACTTGAGATATTAAGCAGTAACAAGACTATATTCGTTCTTTTGCTAGTGATGATCTGGAACAGTTTATGGAAAGTCAAGGTGCATCCAGCCCAGGGATCCTCATTTTAACAACAAGCCTCAGCAAACCATTCATGCGACTGGAAAAGTATGTTACTCTCTTGCAAGAGTTGGAACGGCATATGGAGGTAAGGGAAGGCGAGCTTTTTTAAGCTCGTGTACAAGTACGGGCCTCTGCTCTGGAGGAAGCAGCCAGTCTGCATCCAAACTAACCTTGCTGAGGAATTCGGAAAAAGCTTTGGTTTCAAAATGGACTTGATTCAATCTTCCCTCTTCCTGGGGTTCTAGTTTTCCTCTTTATGCAGCAAAATAAGAAGGGGACATTCTTTTTTTTTTCCTCAAGATTTTTTAGTTTTTACTTATTTTTATATATTTTTCCAGCTCTATTGAGATATGATTCACAAATAAATATTGTATATCTTTAGGCTGTACAGTGTGATTTTTTAAAGTGTATAATGTGATGATTTAATATATTTATACATTGTGAAATGATTACCACAATCAAGTTAATTAACACATCCGTCACCTCACATAGTTACCATTTTTTTTAAAATGATGAGAACACTTAAGATTTACTCTTTTAGCAGATTTCAAGTATACAATATAGTGTTATAAACTAATCACCATGCTGTACATTAGATCTCCATACTTATTCATCTTATAATGGAAGATCCCCATCCTTTACTACTAAATATTCATGATCATTCTCCCTCCCCCTTCTTCTCCTCCCAGCCTTGGTCCTGTTGCTTCCCTCAAGTCTATGCTAACTTATTGACAGGTTTTCTTCTGCCCTCTCATCTGTAGATGGTGGTTCAATCAAAATCGACCAAGAAATCTTCTGTTGTTCTGGTATATGAACCATCTTTATTGTGGGAGATAGACAAAGCAAAACAACATCAGAAAATATAAAGAACACTTTCACTATAGACAGAAATATTTATCTCCAGAGCACTTCCATTATAATCCAGAGTCATTCACCTTTCTGACTCTGGATTACAATGGAAGATTCTGGTATTTCCTTATAAATTAATAAATGGATCCAATGTTGGTTTATCTCTCTATGCATCCATATCTCTACATGAATGTTCACTCACATTTTTGTTTATAAACTTACAGTTTACTTGCAACAGCTGTAGCATACCTATAATCCTTTTGTAAATATTAAGATTTTCAACGAGGCCTGATAATTGAATATTTTTTCATAAAGAGCCCAGAGCCTCTAATTAAAACCCAATCAACAGGGAGAGCTTCTTGAGCTGTGCTTGTGCAATCGAGCATGGGGGATTAAGACGTGAGTGGGAGAGGAGGGCCCGCTGGGGTAGGCTCTTCCTGTGTCTGGGGAAAGGTTTTGAGGTTTTAAAAGGTTTGATTATCTTTAAAGAAAAAGGTTGCACGCTGCCGGTCTTGTCAGCATTTGTAAGGATTGAAAGCATGTACGCTGAGCGAAACCACATTCTCAGGTTATTTGACCTGCCAGAAAGCTAGAGGCAGTGGGGAGCTAGTGAGTAAAGCCTGCCGGAATGAAATTTCAGTTAGGGCTCGGGAAGGTGTTGACATCTGGATGCCTTTCCAGAAGCTAAACCAGTTTGCTGAACCGTTTGAGGTTTGCCCCTCCTTTCTTATCACAAAAATCCAGAAACTAGTGGCCTCAGTTTCTGTTACTGCTCACTGTTGAAGTATTAATATACACTTAATTTTGGGGGAAAAAATCCCCAGATGCTCTTACTGCCTGTGTTCTTTGTCTTGGCCTTCCTTGAATCAAAGCCTATTTCTACTCCTGCCTCCGTTTGCTGTTGGTCACTTGCCTTTGGCTGCCGTCCATTTCCCACCATCAGATAATACACATCCTTAGCACTAGTTCACCATCTGGTGAGACACTTTATCCAGCTTTCTGATCATTTAGCGTGGCTGCTGGCTAATGGTAGAGTAGAACCTGAACTTCTCAGTTATCAGCTGATTTGGGTAAGGATAAATTTAACTATAAAAGAATACAACCTTTTTTACCTAAGCAATACTATTCTTGGCTTGAGTCAGATCCCTAGTCTGTTCAGCTTGTATTTTATCACCCAAGGCTGGTCGAACAGCAGATTTTGTTTTCCCATTATTCCAGCTGAACTCCAAAGGTTAGGTATATATATACCGCCAAGGTTAGGTACACATCTACACTCCTTACACCCCAATGTTAGGTATACATCTACCCTAAGAAGCTCTGCTTTCCCTTCATAAACAATTTTGGAAATGTGGATTCCTCAAAGCCATGTTTGAACCCGTCAACTTTTCGGGGTTAGAAGTGCCATAGAATTGCGGACCATAAGTAATAACATTGCTCAAGAGGGAGCACATAGTATGAAACTTGGAATTTTTTCCCATCTGCCATGTTGAGTCTGCCAAAAGAAAAAGGAGGCATTTTAGGAAAGGAGATTGGATTGATTTTTCTCTAACCACCACTGTTTCCACAATTCTACCTCTTATCATTTACTAACAATGTGACCTAAGGATGTCCCCCAGATAATTATTGTTATCTAAAGTATAATAACAAAAAGAGAAATGGCAACTCTTGCCTCAATAACCACACCTTAGTATATGTTATGAAATGTATGATGTGTTACCAGCTGTCTTAATTTCTTAGTACATAATAATTGGAGGTACTGAGATTCCAAATGCTCAAATGCTGTTTTATTTTTTATCTTCAAATTAGCATACAGTAAAATTTACTTTTTTTCTTTTGGTGCACAGTTCTATGACTTTTAACAGAGGTATAGATTCATGTTACCACCACCACAATCGAGATACAGAACAGTGCCATCATTTCCCAAAATTTCCTCTTTCTATCTCTTTGCAGCCACACCCTCCTCCCACCCCTAACCCCTGGCAACTGCTGATCCATTCTCCTTTAATATTGTTTTAAAATGTATTCCTTCAATAGGATACGCATCCAGATCATCAGGATATTCTGAAAGCAATCATAGCATTCAAAGCTCTCATGGTAAGTGATGCTCTAAAATTATAATTCTCCATTTTGTATGCTTTGTTCCTGAAAGAGTGATTTGTGTGTAACATTTCTTTCCTTATCAAAGGTCTTTAGAGTGGAAACAATGAGCTTTAGTGACAGTATCGCAGTGATTGTTTCATTTAATTTTGTCTTCCAAAAATCATGCTTACCTATGAAAGGTTGCCAGGCTGAGGGTATAAAGCACTCACATTTGAAGTCTCTGCCACATTAAGCATTGCTGTGTAGGTGGGGGGTTTCCTTTTGTCTCTTTGTCTTTACCCCCATATAGCTCACCTTATGTCTGTGCAACTTGTCGTTCACTGATTGGCATCAATACTGGATTCATCTACTTATGCCAAAAAGTGTGAGTTTATTCTTTGCGTATGAAAGAGAAATCTTTTTATCAAATCTGAAAGGAAAAAAAACCTACTAAAATACAATTGCTTTATATAGATTGCTACCAAAGTTACCTGTAATCTTGTATCTTGAGCATGATGGTTAATGTCTTCTTGAACCCACTGATGTAAAACCACTTGGTGGCATTTTAGGAGGAAAGAAAATGTTATTTTGAGTGATTAAATTTAGCTTTATTTTAGACATTTCTGTAGCATTTGAAGTGATTGGGATCAATGTTTAATTATTGATTCTTGCTGTAAGGTTGTGAGGCAACATTCACCATCACCTTGTTTTTATTGCTGTTGAAAGATCAGTACCTAACGTGTTCATGGTTAAACAGCCAAGTTGAATACCAGAGTAGTATATTAGGTTAAAATTGCTGTTGTCGTAGGTCAAAAACAGTTCAACATCGGCAGTTCTACATAGTTAAACCTAATAGAACAGCCCACTGAAACCCATGGCATTTATTATCATTTATGTCTCTTTAATTTTTTTCTATGTAAGTTGAATATAAAGTGCCACTTTTTTAAAACAGTATTTCTTTCTGATCATTTTACATGTTCTAAAACTTGCTTTGATGGCTATAGTATATTACTTCCCACTATAGATGCTTTAAAAATATGTGTACAATGAATTTATTTCTTCAAGTTTCTGTTTAGCTGAAAGGGGCAGCAGAGATTTATGGAAAACACACTCTAAAAAACTATGACATTTATTTGGAAAGTAACATAGCCATATGCTTATTTTCATACTCAGTTCAGCATGAATACTGTTAAATTACTCTAAGATAACCTCACACTTTCTGAAGCAGTGATAGTATTGAAATCCTACATATTGTTTCTTGGTTTATATTTTCAGTTTGTATTGTGAAATTCAGTTGTGTCTCTTTTTTCCAATCCTTTTAGGAATAAAAATTAATTTAGGATTTTTTTTCATAACAATCTACTACTAGTCCCTAAACAAAGTATAGGGCAGGGCGCATGTTTCATTATAGATCAGTTTGATTCACTGTGGCATAAGGAATTTAATTTTCCCTTTTTATATAACTCCTGGAGTCAGCTTTTTGTTTGTTTTTTTATTAAGATATTACTTGGTTGGAAACTGGGCATACGTTAGAAAAATAAAATTGCTTTGCAACTACAGTGCTATTTATGCAAAGAGAGACCAGATGGAGAGGAGCTCGAATGGGGACACTAACCAGCGGCCCTGAATCTTCCAGTTGCTCTCCTGGACCTGCTTCATATGACTCTGCTACTTGTCTTCCCACACTCCTTGCAAAGAGGGAGAAACAAGCCCCATCATCAACATTTTATCTTGATGTTTTGGCAAAATGAAAAGTAGCTCTTCCTCACAAAACGTTTGGGGGCTCAAGGCTAAAAATTTAGTGTAGTAGATCTTTCTGTCTGTCAGGAACGGATCTGGTGATGGGATTTGTGATGAGGAATAGGAACTCAGTGGAAAGCTGAGAGTCAAGAGCCACATCTTACTTTGGTCTTCCTTTAGGTTTGTTTCATAAGAATTCCTATTCCATTATGTTCTGCTCTGGTTCTGTAGGGGCAGTGCCAAGATCTAAGAAAGAGAAAACAGCTGGAGTTGCAGATACTTTCTGAACCTATTCAGGCATGGGAAGGGGAGGATATCAAAACCTTGGGAAATGTGATTTTTATGTCACAAGTAATGGTGCAGTATGGAACATGTGAGGTAAGATATTTAAAATCTCAACATCATCTCTTCCCATCTTTCATATTCTTCTTCCTTGATTTGTTCTTCCATCAAGGTAAAATGCTCAAACATTCAAAGAAATTGAGCAACTATTCTTTGCCCAACACTCTGCTAGGTGCTGTGGGAGATAGGAGGAAAGAACACACAATGATCCCTGCCTTCAAAGAATTCCTTAAAAACAGGTGAAAACACAAGCTGCAACTAGAAAACAAACCAAAATAGTCAATGCCAGGTTGTGCGATCTCACAGTGGATTCCATAGACGTTCAGAGAAGGGAGAGAGTAAGAAGAAGACTTTATGGAAATGGGACTTGAGGAAGAGGGCCATGAAGAGAAAAGGGGAGGATTCCGTAAGGTAGAGATCATTCTTATCTCAGGAGGGAACAGGAAAATGGCCTTTTCTTCTGCAGGACAGTGAGGAAGCCACTCTGTTAGGATCAGAGAAAGCATGTTGGGCAGATTAAAAGAGAAGATTGATTATGTCAGATAGAGTTAGGTCATAAAGGACCTTGGATGTCAGGCAAGAGTAGTTCAGATTGACGCAGCAGACAATAGGAAACTATTAGAGTCCTGGGTAGTAGAGAAACACAATGAAAGGGGTATTTATGATACTTAGTCTGACAACCACATATGTCAGGTAAACTGGAGGGGTGGGGCTAGAAACAGAAAGATCAGCTGGGTTGGAAAGTGAGAAGTACCCCGGACGAAGGTGGTGGCGGAGAGAATGAAACTTAAGGGGCAAATCTGAGACACGTTTAGAAGGGAAAGTCTATAGGAAGTGGTGGCCCATGGGCTAGAGGAGATGACGAATGTAATTTTAGACGTGTTAACTTTCAAGTGACTGTAGGTATCTAGGTGGAGATGTCTTGTAGGCAGCTGTTAAAACAGATAGAAATGTGGATAAGAGGGCAGAGGCAGAGGCAGAGGCAGAGGTTTAGATGTCCCTGATAGATGTGCCTTCCTGGGAAGTAAATACCCAGAAAGAAGCACAGAGCATTGAAGATGAATTATGTCTTTTAGGAAGGGGGAAGGGGAGAGGAGGAAGGTTGATTACATCACCTGGTATGATTTACTGGGTGTTAGAATTGTCTTCCCTCTCCCAAAATATCTTCTTATATTCCCTGACAGGTCTCTGTCAGAGATTCATTACTTTGGGTTAATAAGCAATCTCATTTAAAATGCAGATATCCTGGGGAAGGTTAATGCAATGAGTCTAGCTATTAGTCTTTCACACCTTTGGGATAAACCTCTTGGGTGAAGGGAGGAGAAATCAGTGCCAGAAAGAGAAGACAAAGATGAAGACAGAGAATTGGGGGAATGTGGTATCATGGAAATTCCAGGAAGAGCATCTGAAAGTGGTCAGCCTGCTGAGTGCTGCAGAAAGTTCAGAGGTCAAGGAGTATGGAGACCAAGAAGAAGAAGTTGGATTTTGTTAGAAGGCAGTTATTGATGACTTTGAGAGAGCAGTGGGGGTGCAGTTAGGGATGGATCAACGGGGAGAAAATGAAGGCAGCAAGTAATCTGGCAATAAAATGTCCAGAAACGGGGTATTATTTACAAGGAGCCACGGGGGCAAGTGATGGCCTATTAGAACAGGAGATGTGCATATGGTAAAGGCAAAAGAGAAAAATCTAGTTAAACAGGAGAGGCTGCTGGAAGGAGGAGGACGGGATGAGATGTCTGTAGAAGGAAACCAAGCAAGAGAAAGCTGTGCAAGGATGCAGAGCCCTTGATAGAAGAGTCAGCCTTCAAAGGTTGCTGTTCTCAAGCGGAAGGAAGGAGATCGAGACAGGGATAGGATAATTGTAGCTAAGAAGACTGGACATGTGAGCTGAGTGTAATTTTTTGCATATACTGATTGCATATCTATTTAAGGAGTTCAGAGAAGCCCTTATGTATATAAATTCCTTTAGTGCCATTTTAAAAAGTACTTACTTCTTTGTTTTACATGGGTACAATAATTATTGTGTTCTTGCTGTTTAAAAGTAATTTTATGAATAAGAATTTAACATACATGTTAGAGCATAATAAATTTCCTATCACCTGGAAACTCCTTCATTTTGCCACTTTTCAAAGTAAAATCATTTTCATTTTGTAAACCTAGAGACTTATTTGTCCTCTGGCTGCAGCTTGGGCAGGAAGGCATTACCTGTGTGACTTCTTAGGCTTACATACTTGGGAAATGAGCGTGGTCCTTTGTATTTAACTGTTATGTATAGGAAGGAGAGAGATAAACTGTGGGTTTATATCCATTTCAAAGTAAAATTCAGTGAGTTTTGTGCTTTGAAGTTGGATGACCTTTTTAAAAAAATCATTGTTCATATTTCATTGCCTTGTATAAGATCTATGTTACAAAACAGTGATTCCAGAAATTCTTAACAAACAAAAAGTGCAATTTCTATTTTCCATTTAATATTTTTCATTCCACTTCAGGAAAAAGAGGAGCGGTACTTCATGTTATTTTCAAATGTCTTGATAATGTTATCTGCAAGTCCTCGGATGAGTGGCTTCATTTATCAGGTTAGTAGATTTCATACAAAACAAACGGGAGGACCCATAATGAAAACAGGTTTCCATCCAGATGCAATATTTCCACTATGGCATCAAAAGCTCCAGCCAGAAAAGGCAGAATGTTCTGACCCTTCATTGTAATTAAACAGGTTGTAAGATCAAAGACCTTTGCATTGCTGTAATGAGTTTAGCCTGACTGTCCACTGCTCTGGTTATAAGCTAGATTATGAATGTATAAATAGAAACCTAAGTCTGCGACTAGATAAATTGGAAGCAGCATTTTACAGGCCTATATTAGATCATCATTGCTGAGAAAATATAAAGCTGGGACCTGCTCCTTTGATTGTCGTATTATAATCACATCCCATGATTCACGTTTCCGAAATGCAAGTCATCAAACTCCTTAGGAAATTAAACTTCCTTTAGTCTACTCCCAAAATATGGAGCATTATAAGTAATATAAGTTACTCTTGCCTAATTATATCTTGCCCTAGCAATTAATAATTTTCATAAAATTCAAGTCTTTTATACTTTGTTTATTGATTCTCATGAAAACATGTTAGAAAAAGTAAACTGTTTATAAATCCTGACCTTATGGTTTAGGGTATGTTAGCAAAACACAACCCACGTTTTCTCCTTGCTTTCTTTTTTTTTTGTGTGAGGAAGATCAGCCCTGAGCTAACATCCATGTTAATCCTCCTGTTTTTGCTGAGGAAGACCGGCTCTGAGCTAACATCTATTGCCAATCCTCCTCCTTTTTTTCCCCCAAAGCCCCAGTAGATATTTGTACGTCATAGTTGCACGTCCTTCTAGTTGCTGTATGTGGGACGCGGCCTCAGCATGGCTGGAGAAGCGGTGCCTCGGTGTGCGCCCGGGATCCGAACCCCGGCCGCCAGTAGCGGAGCACGCGCACTTAACCACTAAGCCACGGGGCCGGCCCCTCTCCTTGCTTTCTTGTCTGATTAAAATTTAAAGCAGACAAACATTTTATGTATTGACAAACCAGAGAAATATGTCAACCCTAGTTCAGCAGTGACTCCTGAGAGGGTCAGATAATCTAGTAGAAATAAGCAGAGACACGTATAACCTCAGAATTAATGGGAATGTTCTTTTTCTGGTAGGGAAAAATACCAATAGCAGGAATGGTGGTGACTAGATTAGATGAAATTGAAGGGAATGACTGCACATTTGAAATCACAGGTAGGTAATTTTCTTTTTTTCATGGAGCTACTTCAAATCCTTTTTGGAATGAAGTGGGGTTTAGATAAATAAATGCTATTATTTTCTGTTATATAGTCCACGAGCAAGTCTTACATGGGCATGACGAAGTATACTCCATTTCCCAGCATAATTAGGTTACAGTGATAGAACAGAGAAGTCTCCTGGTCATTCGAAAGCCTCGGCTTTGCCATTAATTTCAATCTTCTCTTGCATAAGAGCTACTTGTTAGAGCTAAGAAATAACAAAACGGATTGATATAAATGCAACTTTTTATCCCTTCTGTCATCTATTCCCTGGTGACAGTGGAGCCAAAGATGTGGACTTTTATCAGCAATTTGATCATCAGCCTATGAATTAGCAAGATTTGGTTGTGTTTCTAAAAAGTGCTGAAAAGCCATGAAAGTTTCTTCACAAATTAAGCAAATTGCCGGGCCCTGACATTTTGGCCTGTTGTCCGCTTTGCTAGGCCTTTGCAATTTAATGCAATGGTGGCACTTTTTACACTGAGATGGCACAAAGGCTAACACTGGGATCGTGGCCCCAGGCCTTACCCCTCTTTCCCAATAGGGAGCCCAAGATTTGCTATTGGCCTAAAGACTAATCAGCCTTAGTTGGATCTTGTTTCAACTTTGATATTGGGTGAAGTCGTACAATATTCTCATCTTAGACTATGAACTCTGTGCTTAAATTTTTGGATTGTGAGTTTGTTTCGAGTGAAGTTTTATACTACTTCTAAGATTCTGTAAGCAGTAGAAACCAAGGACAGTTTTATATATCAGACATGAATATTTATTTCTTTACTTTATTATCACAGCTTATCTGTTCCTGATATAGAAGTTTCAACAGGGTTACCCCATAGGTATGAAAACTCCTGAAAATTAGGACACTCAATTCCTAGTTACGTGAAGTATGTTTACGAATGAGGCAAGCTCAAGGTTCTCCTTGCCTTTTGTTTTCGAATGCTCGTAATTGGGTGATGCAGGTAGCATAATGGAGAGAATTGTGGTCCACTGCAACAACAACCAGGACTTCCAGGAATGGCTGGAGCAACTGTACAAACTGATCAGAGGACCTGCCTCTTGCAGTTCATTATCCAAAACATCATCGTCATCTTGTAGTGCTCATTCCGTAAGTAGTCCATTTGTTCTGTCCAGGGATTGTTGAGTCTCTTGTCAAATCCTGCCTGCTGAGGACTGAAAAGAAGCAGTGAGCATGTCTGTAGTCTGTCGGTAGTCTATATTTGCAGGTGTTGAAGTACAGTTAAACCTCACTAATTCTGATTTCTTGTTGTGGAGGGAGGCCCATCCAAATTAATAAAAAGTTTTACCTAGAGGTGTGCAGTTTTGTTTCACGGTATTAGGGTACTCCAGCGAACTGCTAGCAAAGTGTTTCTAACCAGAAGTCCTGCTAAGATGTTTTAATGATGAACAAGATTTATTTTCATTAGCAACTGTTAGTCTCATATTAATAATGTGCTAAGTCAAAACGAATAGTTTACCTTCATAAGTACTTAAACATCTCCATGTAATCTCATGTATGCTATCACATTCACGCAGTAACCTTCAAGGGTAAACTTTCAACATTGCCTTCTTCCAAGTTATCACAAATTTAGAATTCATGGAATTTGAGTTGATGAGATTTTACTGTACTTGCTGAGTGAGATGGAAGATATGCTGTGTCGTCTGTTCACGCTCAAATCTGTGATGCCAAAATTCCAGTTTTGAGTACTGTGTGTTGTGGTGGGAAGAACATGGGCTTTGGCATCAGATCTGGGTTCAAATCTTGGCTTTGCCAATTGCTAGCTAGTTGCTTCACTTTGCTGAGTCTATGTCTGAGGTTGTTCTGATGAAATAACCTATTTAAGCACCTAGTTGAGTGCCCAACACATGACTGAACTCATTAAATGTTGCCTGTCACTCCACTTTCCTCCCTTATAGAGGGAAAAAGCTGACTTTAATGAAATTCCAGAAGAGAGAGGGAGGACAGGATCATGGGATGTGGAGTCAATTTTGTGCTGTTCCTTAGAGACCCCAAAATCTTGACTGGAAAGTGCCAGTTCTCAAACTGGAGACTTTCGTTTTCCTATCTTTCCCTTTCTATGGCTGGCTTTGCTGATCCAATGAAGCTATTGTTCTTTCACTGTGTGGCACAAGGTCGGGTTCAGATGGCAGATTGCCAACATCTCATAAGACATTTTCCCAGTCTTTTAGCTCTACTGGACAGCCCCGAGGACCCTTGGAGCCTCCTCAAATTATAAAACCGTGGAGTTTAAGTTGTCTACGACCTGCACCTCCACTTAGACCATCAGCAGCACTAGGTTATAAAGAGGTAATTTTGCTACATATGGTATAAAATGCTCCTGACAAGCTAATTTCATAGCTTATTACGAATAGTTCTGTGGGAATGTGCTAGAATTTATGATAGATGATACATGTCAGCCAATCTTGAATTGCTAGATTCAGTGATTTTTTTATTTCTTAATTTTCCACTTCCCCATTGTCCATCTACAAATACTTATTAAATCTCCATAGGGTTTATGTGCACTGCATGAGTTTCCCTGGTCTCCTGAAGTGCCTCTGGTTACCTTTATGAGGATAATTCTATAAATTGGTGATGATGTACACACATCTCACGAGAGCCACTTCATTAGAGTCGAATTTCCAACCAAACAGATTCTGCATTTTGGATCATTTTGATCTCTTAAATCAAATCAGTAAAGTCTTATGGGACCAAGCCATGAGTCTGAACTATGAAAGTCTGAACTATTTGCTGCAATTGGAAAGGGAAAAGAGTTTAACGAAAGGAATGTCTTTTAAAAAAAGGCTTCTAGGGGCCGGCCCGGTGGTGTAGTGGTTGAGTTCACGTGTTCCGCTTCGGCGGCCTGGGGTTCTCCGGTTCAGATCCTGGGCGTGGACTTATGTACTGCTTATCAAGCCATGCTGTGGCAGGCATCCCACATATAAAAAACAAGTAGAGGAAGATGGCCACGTATGTTAGCCCAGGGCCAATCTTCCTCAGCAAAAAGAGGAGGATTGGCAACAGATGTTAGCTTAGGGCTAATCTTCCTCACCAAAAAAAAAAAAAAAAGAGGCTTCTAAGTGACAACCTTAGAGGACATTTGATATTTGGGTAGTGTGGGGATTTCAAGGTTTTTTTTTCTCTCGAAGTTGCAGTCAGGAAATGTTGGTCACTAGCTTGCGTAACTGTGTGGAGTGTTAGCTTTTCCATCCAAACAGTGTTTTTTTTTCCCTAACCTGTTTCTCATCGTTTCAGCTTTCCGAAAAGATCCTCATTTATTAGTAACTGTGCTTTAAATAGGTCTTACTAAGTGAAGATTTTAGTTTGTGACAGTTATGAGATGTGTCTTAGAATGATGGTGCAAAGGCAGCATATATTTCTATATCAAATGTGTGTTTTGATGAGTGATGCAGACTTAGCTCGATTTCGAGTTTGTTTTGATTTAAAACACCGTGCTACTGTTTCGATTAATTGTTGCCTCCAACTTTTAGTGCAGTAAAAAAAGAACAATATTTGGACACTGGAGGATTTTTTTGATCCTTTCAACCTGACATGATAGGAGAAATAATCTTTGAGCTGGATCTTTTTCGTGACTTCTATTCAGAATTTGGCCAGGAAACAGTCTCACAGCTTTGCTTTGGAAATTGACCTGTGATACCTGCAATCATCCAATTTTCTTCTTTGATTACCTAAACCAAGAGTGCCACTTCAGAGTTATCTAGGTCCCCTTTTTAATGATGGATATTTTGTAATTGTCAGTTACTAAGTTCAAATTAAGGTGAGCTTTGAAGGGTAAAGTTGACTTAATCCTTCACAGAACTAATCCATTAAAACTAAGGCATGATCACTTTGTTTCTGCTGTGAGAAGAGAGTTATTAATATATTCTTACTATGTAGTATGTATTTCAGTTATTTTCAGCATTTGTTATTCTGCACAGAACTGTATTCTTTGGGCTTTTGCATGATGATATTGCATCTTAAACTAATGTGGGAAACATGATGATATTCTCTCTGTGTGATTTTTGATAACACTAACATTTCAAATGTTGTTTTAGAATTATTGATAAATGGATTTGGTCATTATAACCATCGATCTCTCACGCTCATCTTCTCTTTCTTTACATATTCACTTTAGAGGATGTCTTATATCTTAAAGGTAAGGGTAGAACAATATCTTTGGCTTACAGTGACATCATATTGCTGTGCTGTAAACTTTGATGAATGAAGCTTTCTTTTATGCTTGTTTTGTCCCTTGTTATAATTGGTGGCTAAAATATGAAGAGATGCAATTCCGACATGTAAGTACTTTCTTCAAAAAGCAGGCTCTTGTGAAATACATATGAAAATGTCATCTTCTAATGCCTTAAAAATGCCTGTTTTCCTGTTAAATGCTATTTTCTCCTGTTATTTTTGTCACATGTGAGTTTTTTGTGTTTGTCTGTTTTCACGTTTAAGTGGATCGCTGTGGCTAAGTGGAAGAGATTAAATTCTTTGTTTCATATATTTTTAGGGTACTAATTATTATCCATGCATCACATATATACATTGCATGGGAGATTGGGATAAGATGATCACTCGGTTTGTTGCCTAAGTCTAAGATTCTAATCTGTTTACTTGGATACTGATAATGAGTACTTGTTTAGACCTGCTGGTTATTTATATGGCAAAAGCAAATTCAATAATTCATATCTCTTTTATATACTAATTAAAATATGGCTTTATATGTATATTTAAGCTTGGCAGTAGGTGACTTACTCATAACCCAAAATTGTTTATCAGGAAATCCTTCATTTGGCTCTTTTCTCTGACTGCCGGGAAATTACTTAGTCTCTCTGCCTTAATTTTCCCGTCTGACAAATAGAAATTAATATTCTTCTTTGTGGGACTGTTGCTAAGGAAAATTTATTTAAATGGTTTTAAAGCTCTTTGAAAAGCAGTATTTACTTCATTAGTAGTTACAATTTTTATTTAATTCCCTTAAAACTCTATCAGTGGGGAATATGAACCGAGTTAGGAATACCGTTATTTCTCTAGGATTGACATCCATTACTTTCTCTGCAGATGGTACCCTAAAGGCATTTGGCCTCCTGGAGAATCTGCCGCATCTTCAGTAGGCACACTCCATTCTTATTCCCATCTCTATGGCAATTGAGAGGATAATGTCGTTGCCTCTGTTTTATTTAACCTTTTAGAGTTTATTGGAGCCATTTTTATTGTGTATAGTATTAAATTTTGGTGCATTCCTAACTGAGACTGTTAAAATAAGAGAGAGCGTTCTATTTAATCTCATTTGCTCTTTTTACTTTGCTTTTTTTGGGGGAGAATTTTAATTCATAAAGAAACCTCTATCCTTACAGGAGTCTAGTAAAAGCCCCAAAACGATGAAGAAGTTTCTTCATAAAAGAAAGACTGAAAGAAAGCCATCAGAGGAGGAATATGTGATTCGGAAAAGTATGTGTTTTGTACTTTTTGAAAGTTGGTTATGGATGAACTAACAGAATAATTTTTTGAAAGCAGATGATTAGAGCAATTTGTTCTCGGTATCATCTGTTACATAAAGAAAAATGCACGGAAATATTTGGTCACCTTTAAGATTTTTGAATAATCTGCTGCACTTTATGTCATCTTAGGCAGACACTATCTGTATGATTTTCATGTTGAATATTTTGCCCCGCCTGGTTTAGAACCATTAAAGGGACCCATTTGCTATGGATATATTTTTTTCCCTCTTAGCTTCTGATGCCTGAGATATTTTCCTCTACTGAGATAGACTAAATCGACCTGAAGGCTGAAATCCGTCTGGAAATTTAATTCTCCATGATGTTCTCAGTTAGACAAGGCATCAGCCTGCTGACATGTAGAAACATGGCTTGATTTAGAGATGGACTGCAAAGTTGGTCAGCCAATTGATATGTACATATTTGCCTCTATGGCTGGAAAAAAAGTACTTTGGGACATGTGAAGGGACAAGCGATGTATTACAAAGGAGTGACAGAACTGTGTGTATCACTCAAAAATATAGTCTGGATAAATCTTTGCTTGACTATAGCTTCTGCATCCCCCACCCCTCACGCCCCACCTGGGTGTGCACATCAGCATGTTAAGAGGGTTCTGCCATCCAGTCATTTCAAGAACGAGTTGGAGGGAGAGGAGGAAGGAGAGAGAATCAGTGACTATGCTGGCTGGTTGGAAAAATGGGTGGGGCTAATGGGGGAAAGCTTCCTAGAGAAGGTGAACCTTGAAATTTGAAGGAGAGGAAGAATGTGGTGTATTGGACGTGAACTGAGGCTAACACCAAGCCCAGTGCTGCAATTGTGGCCTCTGAGAGACGACTGACAGGACTCTCCAATTTAGACCTCTGGGTTGTCTTCAGAAGCAGGCCACCCTTGGGTCTGAACTCACTGATGCTGACCCCAGAACTCCCTAGGGATACTGTCACTCCTGCTCCATTACCAGGGTTGGACAGCTTTTCCTTCTGCCTTTCAGAAACACCACCGGCCAGAGAAGCCGGTCCCCAGTACCAGAGTGCACTGCAACATTTTGAGGGTCCAGAGGCATATATCCCTATAAAAAGTCATTATTAATTAAATTTGACAGGTACGGCTGCTCTGGAAGAAGATGCTCAGATTCTTAAAGTGATTGAAGCCTACTGTACCAGCGCAAATTTTCAACCAGGCCATGGCTCAAGTACGTTCCCCCAAACCACTTTCTGTAATGAATGGTGTTTCTTTTTTACTGCTCACTGCCTCTTCGAAAAAGAGAAAAGCAACCCAGATGGGTTGCAGGGCATGTAAAGCAGGTGACAGTGCAGAGGAGCGGTGCAGGACTGCATCTTTCAGATAAGGTGGTTTTAGCTACCAAGCGGTTTGTTTACCCACTATTTCTTTTCACCCAGAGACAAAGAGACATGCAAGAGTAAAAAAGTTGGAGGTGATAGAAATGAAAAAAAAAATTTTTTTAAGTCATTCTCCTTTGAAGTACACAGATACCTTCACCAACACTAGTTAGGAATTAAAGAGCCCAGAGAGTTCCTGTGTCTGTGAACTGATGCTAATCTCTTCTTATAGGCAGATTTGGAAAGGAAGTCAAAATACTATCTTTGATCAGCTGCATATTTAAGCAAACAATGCTTCACCAAACTCAAGTTTCGAAGTTGCTCTGAAAATCTGGAAATGTAGCTGCTTAGCAAGAGGCTGTTCGGAATGTAGACAATTTATCAGGGAGCTATTAGGTGAGGGTATTTCCCTGAACAACTTTCAGGCTACAAACTGAAAGCGAGATAATGTTTTCTGATTCATCCTTGTGCTTTTTAAAAAGCCAGGTCACGTCGGTTATGTCTTCTGTCTTCCATTATTTTAGACCTTCAGGACACCTTGCATGAGGTTTTTGCATCTGTGTAAGAAATGAGTTCTCCCTAATGCTCCATTTTGGACAGTCACTGAGCAATCACGAGTGTGGGAGGGGCTGTCTTAGGTGGACTGCCTTGATGTATGCTTTCAAAGTAACACTTCTTTAAGGCTGTCATGAGGAAAACGTTCAATGTGAAAGTTGACACATTTGACCATGAAGAGGGGACTGTTATACCTTCTGCTTCACGGAGAAAACCTGGCTGTGGCTCTGGACATGCCCAGCTCTGATAACAAGTTTCGAGGAGCCAGGAAAGGAGAGTAAGAGCAGTTTTTATTGTGAAAACAAGGAAAGAGAGGGGGACAAGGAGACACCAGAAGCATCCTTCATACAAAATCTGACCTAATCTCCTCCCCCACCACCTCTCTTCACATCAATAGAGTCAATAGATCTATTCAGAGGTGCAGGCAGGTGTTCTGGCCTAAAGAGTCACATTTTTGCCCCTCCTCCCCAGCCTGCCTTTTATATGTGGAAAGTGTCTAGTGCAATGCTTGGCACGCAGCAAGCCTTTTAGCATCATGGTGACCTACCACCCTCTATCCCTCTCCAGCCAGAAATTCTGTTGCCCTAGAACTGACTGCTATTGTTTCTTGCTGCATTCAGTCGGTGGGTCAGTCAGTCAGTCTGCTATCCACTTATTAGGCACCTATGCAGTGCTAGGCCCTGTGGAAGGCAGAGACACATCCACCTCCAGAAAGGGGAAGTGATCAAGTGAAGGCAGTGAGTGTACATAACTTGAAGAAATTTGCCTTAGAAGAGAGGAAACCAGTGGCTCAGGGAGACTGATGATTAAGGGCTCGAGCTCCGAGAGGAAGGATCCAGAAGTGAGGGGGAGGCTGGAGGTGCAGGAGAGCTGGATGGTCAGGTCCCATGTCTGTCCTGTCACCTCTTCCATCCCAGCGCCTAGAGACAGTCTGAGCAGAGAGCAGTAAGGATGCATCTTTGCTGCTGATGTGATAATCTCCAAGCCCCCACTGTACTCTTGATTAGAATGGTTTTAACTGACCCTCTCTTACCCTACAAGACTATAAAGAGAACAGATGGGAGTGGATGATGCTTCTGAGGCCCTTTAAGTACGTTGTATCCCAGTGCAGTGCTACTCTCTACATGATTTTTACTAAAATTACATAATACCATAGCATAGGATGTGGTGTGCTATTCCCTGGAGATGTGCAGGGACAGAAAGGTCACTGGTCACCTCTTTGCTCTGGAGGAGGCGAAACAGGAAAGAATGGGGTCTTGTTTGAAGACAGTTATCACAGTGACCCTTTCACATTATTTTTCTGAATACAAAATGCCCTCCCGCCAAGATTGAATCAATATATTTGGCCATTTAGAATTTTTCATGTCAGGAAGATTTTGTCTGTAATTGTTGAGTGACTGTTCTCTAGGTGCAGGGTAGCAACATGCTATCAACAAAGACCCTTCGATAACAATAGTGGAGAGGAACTGACACCCATAAATGATCTTCACTAGTGACTCTCCCCTCTTGCAACCTTGTTTGTAGGTACTCGCAAAGATTCTGTTCCACAAGTCTTACTCCCCGAGGAAGAGAAACTCATCATCGAGGAAACCAGAAGCAATGGCCAGACCATCATCGAAGAAAAGTGAGCAGAGCGGGCTAAAGCTTTCCTGATTTGTCAGGGGCTGGAAAGAAGGTTCTGGCAGGGCAATGTGGCTCTTGCAAATCCTGCACTGAAGGACAGTCCCTCCTCATCTGGGAATGTGGCCCTCATTGCTGATCATGCAGTTGGGAGCCTTGGGAGGGCTGCCCCCCAACAAAGGGAGGGGAGAAGGAGAGACAGAGGGGGCAGAACTCTCTACATGGTGGCTCCCCCTGGAGCCAGCTTCCTCTTACAGTAAGGTGCTTCAGGGTACGCAAGAATTTCACTCTAGATAGGTTTAGGTGGTGCTTGGGAAGGCCACAGCGCCGTTGTCCCTGCCCAGAATGATGCTTCTCACATTTATTGAGTCAGGCACTGGGCTTTCACAAACTTGACCTCATTTCAAATCCTACAGCAATCCAGTGAGATAAGCATTACTTTCACCACCTTTACAGATGAGGAAACTGAGGTTCAGGGAAGTTATGTCCTTGGCCTACCTTTGTACAGTAGTGAGGGTGACCTAATGGGGAAAAATCAGGTTTAGTACCTTATGGCTCGTAAAATAAACACAAAGTTGCCAAATAATTCATTTGTTTAAACTTGAGTCATTTCTGAAGTCAAGCCTAAATTTGCATAAGACAGCATATTTCAAAGTGCTTGGCATCATCAATGTGTTTTTCCATCTAGTATATGAAGTGATAGGGGAAAATGGTAAAGCACTTGGGCTTAACAGAAGAACAGCCCTGGTTCAACGCCAAATTCTGCTACTTGTTAGCTGTGTGACCTGGGGCAAGTTCCTTCACCTCTCTGTGCCTCTGTTTCCCCATCTGTAAAGTGGGTGTGATAGTAATACTTTCAGGGTTGTTGTGAGGTTAAATGGAATAATAAGTATAAAGGCTAGCACATGGAAATCACTCAATAAATCATGATAGTTATAATTATTGTTATTAGAGCTATATTAATCCCCACAATGACTTTGTGAGGTTTTCAGGGAATGTGGTATTATCCCCTTTTTGTATGTGAAGAAAGTAAGACCAAGAGAGGGCGAGAAGGAAATTGGTTACCCAAGGTTAGAGGACTGGTACGTGGTACCATCGGAACTGGTACCCAGATCGCCAAAGTCCTTGTCCAGGGAGAGAGCCAGAGAGGAAATGACTGCTCCACAACTCAGCCAGGGTGCCTTATCCTTTTTTGGAATATATGGAATCTTCCAGAAATAATGCCCCTGACTTTGCATCACGTAAGATCGTGTAGGGTCAGACAGGTGAGAAGGGCCATGCCATAGCACAGACATTGTAGGATGGGCAGGGCCTTGTGACACCTCTCATTATATGTTAGATGATGTTCATTCCTGCCCCAAAGAGAGAAATCCAAACCTATGATGAGCCCTAGTCTCTTGTTTTGTACTCACTCAAGCTGGGAAGCACGTGACAAAGGAGGAGGGAAGCATAGAAAAGGTGCAATGCCATGGCATTTGAATGAGCATGTGTGGTGGTGGTTGTTAGCCCATAAAAATGAGGAACACAAGGACCATTTGTAGTGGTATCTCTCCTGATGAGCTAGAAAGCCCGCCGCTTTTCAGGATCTGTATTTCTATAAAGCTGCTTTTATTGTCAAGTGTTACTTAACAATACTTCGATGCCAGCTATTAATGTCTGAACTTTATCTCTTTGTTCTAGGAGCCTTGTTGATACTGTTTATGCCTTGAAGGATGAGGTCAAAGAACTGAAACAGGTAATGAAACATAAAAGGCATTTTCTCAGATCACAACAGGAGCACTCCCTCTTCCTTGCCACACACTGGTAGATGCTCTCAGGAAGGGTCCAAGAACAAGGGGGCGAGGTGGGGATTTTTATTTCCCTTGTATTGTCAAGGTGGGTTTTGCTGATTTTACCATGTGGCCTTGGATTTAAATTTTTGAGGCTTGCTTATATACCTATTTAGCAGTTTACAGTAGGGTCCCAGACTTAGTTACAACTTCCATGTTCCCTGACATTTGTGAACAGAATTTAAGGAAAGATAAGTCATTTGTGAGCATGTAAGTATAAACAGAACCATGAATCATGATTTGTGGGCTCCCCTGCAGATGTGATTCAGTGCTCCTCGATGCTCGCTCTTCTTTGTGGTTGAAGATTGACTACTTGGTTGCAGGGTAAAGGATGGATTGGAGGGAAGAGAGACCAGAGACTGGAAGACCACTTAAGAGGTTGTTGCAAAAGTCAGGGTGAGACATAGTGAAGCCCTGAAGTGAAGTAGTGCCACTGAGGCTGCGGAGGAGGAAAATGGATGTAAAGGAAGGCACATTGCAGAGTTACAGCCTATGGAAAATGATGCCATGATGTTGGGATTAAGAAAGAGCCAGGGATTGAAGATGAAGCTTCTTACCTGGGTATCAAGTTCGATATGGTGGTGCTCTTCATGGAGATCAGGAACCACAGGAGGAAGAGAATTTTGGGATGGTGGTGAGCTCACCATAGTGGGTTCACTTAGGACATCATGAGTTTGAGGTGCTTGTAAAACATCTAGGTGGAAATATCAAGTGGGCATTGGGGACTGTGGACCTGGTGCTCATGAGATGAGATGCGGTCAGTACTAGAGAGATTTGGGAGGTCCCGTAATAGATACTTGAATTGAAAGAGAAGAGACACTAAGTGAAAAGAGTGTTGAATTAGAAGAGGGCCAGGGCTAGAGCCTTAGAGAATGCTTGTGTTTCAAGGAAGAAGAATGCCAAGGGTTGGTCAGAGAGAGGTAGGAGAGTCAAGAGGCTGCCTTGTCTTAGAAGCTGAGGGAGAGGAGTTTGAGGAAGGAAGGTGTAGTGAGCGGTGAAGGCTGCCTAGAGGATGAGCAGGAGGATCCCTGAGTAGCGGTCACTTTGTTTGGTAATCAACAAGTCTTTTCCCATCATAGGAGAATAAAAGAATGAAGCAATGCCTGGAAGAAGAATTGAAGTCAAGAAGGGACCTAGAAAAGCTGGTCCGGAGGCTGTTGAAGCAAACTGATGAGTGTATTCGGGCTGAGTCCAGTAGCAAGACCTCCATTCTTCCATAACCATCACTGTGCAGCTGGGCAGAGTGTGCCTTCAGGGCATCTTGAAATGTCCCGCTGAATGGTTTGACTCAGTTTGCTCACTTCTTTGGTTTTTATTTTGTATCTGATTCAGTCTCTCTCTCTTTCTGTGTTTGCTTGAGTGTTTGTTGTTGTTTGGTTAGTGGTTGGTTGTTTATTTTTTTCGACAGGGGTAAAAGGAAGGGGTGGTGGTAGAAACCTCCCCCAAGTCTTTTCCATTCACTAAGAAAAGGAAAACTAGTACAGGCCAATGACTTAAATGGTCTTCAGCTGGCCTTCAATTCATAGTGCCTCTTTAACAGCTCTTACCCTTCTGGTCACTCTTGTTAGGCTGGCTGGTATCCCAGAGTGGCTGGCCATGGCTTATTAAATGTGAACTTGACTTTTCCCCCAATGCTTTCCTGTACCTGGAAGCCCTTCAGTAGCTAATTTACTGAAGGCAAAGCTTCTTGAGCTATGACTAGAGTAGGGTGAAAAGACAAACACATTTGCCCAATGATCCAGCTGCCCTTCCCTGGACCATGATGTGCCACCCGTCAATGTACACTTTTTTTAAAATTACTCCCCTAGGTTGTCTATCAAACCAAGAAAACAGGAGCGCCCTTATTCCTTTTGTGTTGGTTTACATTTTAACTCTGTGGGGCGGAAGCTCTGGTCATCCATGCCAACACCAAATCCGTTAGCAAATTGCACTGGACAATCCTCACCTTCAGCAGCAGAGTTGACCATTTCTTCCCAGTGCATGATAGGTATTTTCCCTAGCCTTCTGCCTCATATGTAAAGTTTATATTTCCCCACTGCTTTTAGCCAACCATACCAAGGGGTGTGTAAACTAGTATGTGTGTGCTTTGCTTACTTTTTAAAAATATAGACTGTGAGCAGTTACTTTATCTACATTGCATATTCAAATTGACTTCTCATCCTTCAAAACAATCTGCATTGAGGAGATATTGTGCCCTAGTAGAGAGCTTTAATTCACTTTATTGCTCTCCCATATATGCTGTGAGAAGCTGTAATATTCATCAGCCTCTTTGAGTGGGACTGTAAGCATTATTTGCAGAAGTGTGCTGTTGGTCCAGTTTGTATATCCAGAAAGAAAGGGCCCCTCTAGTAGCTGTGTGCTGGTTACTAGTGAAGGTGATTATTTGGAACTGGTTTACTCAAATTGCTCATCGAATCAAACCATTGCCTTTGTAAGGATCTCAGAAATTAGAACTGTGATAAACCAGGTTTAGCAGAGGGTCACAGAAGGGCAGCACACGTCCAAATCTCACTCAATTGAAAGTTGGCCCAAGGCTCTAGGAAAGAGCAGTGCAACCTGCCCCTCTATCTCCCAAAGACAAGTGAAATTTGGCCACGTGGGGAAGATCACTGGAAGAGAGATAAAGGGCCAATGGGCTGATCAAAGTTGTCTTCCAGATACGTTTAATGGGTGCCTATAAATGTGCGTTTTGCAAATGTTGTCTAGAAACCAAACTTGAAGCTTGAAACCCCCAGCTTGCTAAGCCCTTTTTCTTTCTAGTCCTGGGGGTCCCAAGTTCCCATAGCTACACGGTACGGGGCTGCCGACTGCTTGCTGCATAGCAGAAGTTACACCATCCGTAGGAAACGGACTATTCCTGCAGTCCAACATCAGCCGATCACCCACAGCGGTCTTTGCAAGCTGAAGAGTGAAGGAGATTTCCAGGAATGGCTATTGTTCTGCTTTTAAGCACAGCAGTTTAGAAATGCCATCCTTCACCTAAAAATTAACAACAACAACAACACAGATCTTAGCGTCTGCCCTGTCTGTGGTTAGTCAATGGCTTGCAATAAATGTGCAAACTATATCCATAGGAAACATTTTTGTGATTACAAAATACTTTAGTTGATAAGGTATAGGATTGCTTAAAATAGTGAAAGGTCTTTATTTTAAAGTGACGTGTACATATGCATGTTTTGGGGACTTGGCCCTTCTGATGAGAGGCCCTCGGTACTCTGGGTAATGAAGCTTGTGCAGAGTGGTGTCCGCACTCACACACTAAACAATAATATAAAGGAAATGAAGCCATGTTAACCTGAGAGCAGTGTCTCCATAGTTGTGTTGTTTACAATACTCTATACATGGGTTCCTGTTTCCCTGTAATTAAACTGCTGCCCTTAGAGGCCTTTCAGCTCTTCTTCTGTCATGTCCCTTCTTACACAAGCTCAAATTTTCTAACTTGTTTTTATTTTGAAGACTTTTAAAATGGACATTTTCAATAAATAAGAATAACGATGCTTTATAAAATAAGTCCTGTGTTTCTTTTTTTTTTTTTGCTAGCTGGTGTGCAGAAAGATTTCCCATGCTGTGTCAGCTTCCTCTCCCATTTCCCTCACTAGCTATCCACTCTCATCAGGCCCCCTCGCCAGCTTCTGCCTTTTTCACTCAGGGCAGATGATATTTGCTCCCTACTTTACAGAGATAATACATGCCATGAGACAGAACCTCCCTTAACTTCTCCACCCTCTCCTTCTGGTCCTGACCTATAAACTGTCTGTACCTCTTCTCACCATTTTCCTTCCAGAATTAGAGAAAGAGATATTCATTTTCCTGTTCAAGCTTATTCCTTGATCTTTAGTCTCATCCCCATCCCTCTTTATATTTTGTAGGATTTTGTCCGTCAATGATATCCTATATTTTGAACACAGTTGGAATGCTAGTGTTAGCAGTCAGGATGAAAATATTTGGTCCACCTAGAGATAGATGTGCTAGATATTATCTGTTACTACTCAGCATCCATTCCTACCTCTTTTATTTATTTTTTTTTTTGTGAGGAAGATGGGCCCTGAGCTAATATCCTCTGCCAATCCTCCTCTTTTCGCTGAGGAAGACTGGCCCTGGGCTAACATCCATGCCCATCTTCCTCCACTTTATATGGGACGCTGCCACAGCATGGCTTGCCAAGCGGTGCATCGGGTGTGCTCCCGGGATCCGAACTGGCATGCCCCGGGACTCCACAGCGGAACGCACGCACTTAACCACTTGTACCACAGGCTGGCACCGCTAGCTCTTTTATGTTTCCTACCAGAAGTCTAAAAAAATACATATCCCAGACTCTCTTGCAGCTAGGGTTCTGGATACAATGTGAATTCTGATACATTTTCAGTTCTGTCAATGAGATGCCTTTGCACAATGTTTGGAAGGCTTAAGTAGGACAGTGGCTGTCTGCCTGAGGCTTGGTGACTGGCAGGCAGTTCCAAGGATGTGTTTGTGGCTTTTGTACTCTACATTCCAGTCTGTCTACTCACAGCATTGTAGTGGCAGCAGTGGTGGCGGTAGCAGCAGCAACAGCAGCAGCAGCTTCCTAAATTAGATTTGGGTCATAACTACAGTGCTATGACCTTGAAGCCATTAGTCCAATGGAAGCCCCCTGACTTTTACTTCTGTAGACAATGATTTTCAAGGCACCTAATATTACCTTTCCACCTGAGACATCGTCAGCTGTTTATGCTTCCTACTCTGAAGCAATAGATATAACATTGCACCTCCTGTGTGCTAGGCCTTGTGCTAAGTGATTTACATGGTTAAGCTCATGTAACCCTCACAACAATCCTTTGAGGTATTCACTATTGTTATCCCCATCTTACCAATGAACAGACACGGTTGTTGAGAAATATGCTAGTATGTGTGGAGCTGGGATTGGAAACCCTGGTCTGTCTGCCTCTCGCAGCCGTGCTCTTTCTACCACATTCCCTCCTCTGCACTTGGCACCTGCTAAGCAGGCTTCTACCACAGCCATCTACTCTCGTGAACTCACTAATGAACTCTTAATTGACAAATCCAGGGAACACTTTTCAAAACCTATCTTGACCTCTCTGCAGTATTTGACCCTTGCTTCCTTGATAAATGTCTCTTTTCTTGGCTTTCATGAGCCCAACTTTCCTGGCATTCATTCCAATTTCTGACCACCCCTCAGTCTCACTTCCTGCGTCTGCCTTTTGTGCCTGTTCCCTGACCCTGTTCTTTGACACTCTTTTCCTCTTCTCTTCATTTCTATAGCCTCTTCTGGACAAGCTCGTCTACTCCTATAACTTCATTTATCAAAATGCAGATGAATCCTATGTCCGTGTTTTTCCATCCTGACCTTTCTCCTGAGCTCCAGACCCAGGGATGCAGATACCTTCCGGACCTCTCAGCTTGGAGGTCCTACAGCACCTCAAACTCAACATGTTCAAAACTGGACTTCTCACTCCTATTGCCAAATCTGCTCCTGCAGTGTTTGCCATCCCAGTGAACAGTGCCACTGGCCGCTTAGTTGCCCCAGCAAGACAAATGGGCATTATGCTTCATTCTCTCTTCGCCCTCAACCCTGTATAGATTTCTACATTAACCCTTTCTAAGTCTAGTCATCAAGCCTTACCATTTTTAACTCTGTTGTGTCCCCTGAATTCCTTTCCATCCTCATGACTGTTGCCTATTTTTGGCGCTTGTCATCTCTCTCTTGGACTAATGCATCTCCTTGCCTCTAATGTCACCTTCTCTAGTCTGGCCTCTTAGGTGCCAGTAGAATGATCATCTAAAAGATCTGACAATGCCATTCATCTATTTAAAATTTTAATCTCTTGCTTCTCCCTACCACACTCAGTAAAATTTGATCTCCCTGAATATCTCTTAAGTCCTTAATGTGCCATTTGCCCTGACTAGAATCCCTTTCCCATCCCTGTGCATTAAGCAAATTCTTTCCTTTCCATTTAGAATCATCTCAAGTATCTATGTGAACTCATGATTTCTAAAATGCATATACATATGTGTCTATGCATGTGTATGTGTGCCTTTATATGTATGTAGTATGTATGTTTGTATGTATTAGAATTGCCAGATAAAATACAAGATGCCCAGTTAAATTTGAATTTCAAGTATGCAACAAATAATATCTTTGTGTAGATAATGTCCCAAATATTGCATGGGATATATTTGTACTAAGTTTTCCAATGTTTACCTGAAATTCAAATATAACTGGGTATCCTGAATTTTTATTTGCTAAGTCTGATAGCTTTAGTATATATGTGCATATATGTGTATATAAATGCATACATTTCCCAGAAAGGCAATGACACCCTAAAAGCAATGAATACAGCTAGTGCCCAGAACTTGGTTTCTAGACACTATATTCTGCACTGCAAGGAACCAGGTCTCCTTGGAGAAATGGCTGATTCTATGGCTGAGACAGGGAAGGTATAAGATGAGCCCGGAACATCTTGTTGTGCCAGAAAGTAACAGAATGCTCAAAAAAACCCAACAATGATAGGGGCATGTTACAAGGATACAGGTGCCAACTTGAAGAGGCTCCCACTGGCCAAATAAGGGAACATTAGAGCACCAAAATAAGGACGGTAATGAATTAGAAAACATTGAAAAAAGTATTGAAAGCATTGAAAAAGAAATCTGTGAGTCCATACAGATTAATAAATAAGTGAGGAGAAAGGGAAGGCTCTTGTTTACAGTACCATGCTAAGTATTGACCGGTAAATATGGAAGGAACCCCAGATTTGGAAAATCATCATTTTGTGCAACCATCATAGTAAAGACTGATTCAGGCAAAAATTATCATTGGATGCTAAATATAGGGGGAAATGTTGATGATGAGCTGGATACTTGCATGGTCTTAAGGTGTTTCCCCAAAGACTGCTTACTAGCTGCAAGGGGAAAATAGTCACCACAGGGTGGAGAAATTGGCCAACATCTTAACTGAGTGATCAAAAGTCACTTCAACAAAGAGAGGCAAATGGCTATCATGTGCCTCCAGATGTGATACCCTGAGAAGGACACGGCATCATTTATGTAGTTTTCCATCCATGAAACATCAGACAAACTCAAAATAAGCAACAGTCTTTTTTTTTTTTTTAAGGGGAGAGATTGTTACTATGTTAGCCCAAAATGTCAATGTCATTAAAGACAAAGAAAGGCTGTGGAAATGTTCCAGATTAAAGGGGACTAGAGACATGACAATTTAATGCAACACCTGATCCTAGATTGGATCTTGTACTGAAGGGCAAAAATGATATAAAGGAGATTATTGGCTCACTTACTGAATTAGAATACAAATGGAAGGTCAGTATCAATGTGAATTTTACTGAGGGTGATAACTGTACTGTGGTTATAAACAAGAATATCTTTATTCTTAGGAAATATACTTAAGTATTTAGGGGTGAGGGCCGTGATGTACACAACTTACTCTCAAATGGTTCAGAAAAAAGATACACCTGTTATTTGTACTATTCTTATTTTTGCAACTTCTCTGTAAGTTTGAAATAATTTTTCAATAAATTTTTAAAAAGTCAGCTCAAGCATTGCCTCCTCAGGGAATCTAGACTCCAACAGCTCCTTTTGCTCAATCATCACATTGCACTGTATTTGCTTGTGTCTTTTTCCACACTAAATGTTAAGTACCTTAAGAGGAGGGATTGACTCCTTTCAGCCATGTAAATTCAGGGCCTGAAATAGGGTTGAGCCCATAGTACCTACTCAATGAATATTTGTTGAATGAGAAAATGTTCCAAATAATTTGATGCCTCTGCTATTTGTATGGGAAAATTGTGAAAACTTGCCTTGGTGCCAAGAGCAGAAGCCAACTGGGGTTCTAAGTTTTCTGCAGCCTCAAAGCCTGCTGAGTCCAGTCTGTGACCCAGCCTCCTCATCACCTTTCTCTCAACTCGCACTGCAGGCCACCTCAGCCACGCTGTACTGCAGGATGCTGTGGAGCAAGCCCCTCTGGGAAAGCAGGCCAGAGGGCAGTTTGTCTCTGCCAAATGAGCACAAAGCCTCTTTCTAGACTGGGCTTCAGCGTGTGCCGTTTGGCATATACACCAAGAGTTTTTCCTCACACGAGGCCCTCTGTGGCTGACTCCTCCTGCCTGCTCCCCGAACACTTTATCCATTTTCACACCTCTATGCTTTGCATGTTCTGCTCTTTCCCTCTGGGACTCCTTTCCTCCCTATGGCCCCTCCTCCTTCCAGCATCCTTCAAGACTCAGTCTGTGCCACCTCTCCTGGAAAGCCTTTCCTGACGCCTACCTTCCGCTGCTTGTCTGAGGCTTTAAACGTTTACACACCTGTTATGCAAAAGACTGGAAGCTACTTGAGGGCGGGGACTGGACCATATTCATCTCATTCATAGCACAGAACCTATAACCTCAATCAGCGTTGGATGGGTGGATGAAGGGATAAAAAAACATCTTTAGCTCCTAGTAACAAGAAACATGAATCAAATCTAAGACGTGGTAAAGGCTGCACACTGGGCTTCAAAGAGATTTACAATCAGAGAGGTACAGAAGATAGGAGTAGGGTTTCCGACCAAAAATTATTGGACTTTAAGTGGGGTTACATTAGCAGGAAAAATGTGAAGGATAACTCAGTGGAACTCCAGGAACGGGGAATGGAAAACAACTATATATTTAACTGGTTTCTTGAGAGTTGCCGAATTGGCTATTGGGGTTACTCAGAGGAGTGTGGCAGGGAGCGGGTAAGTTTGTATGCTAATGTCCTTTAGATTGGCATCAATGATCGTAGTTTTTTTTTTTAACTAAACCTTCCTAAATATCCTATATATGGAACTACATCAAGCCTACTGAAAAATTTGGCAAGCCCAAGCCTCCAATAGTTAATTGTTTTTGACAATGAAACTGTAAGAAAGTCTTGGCTATGCACAGGTCTACTCTAATGTTAGATGTATGTTCTCATCTTGCCTTTCATTTTTCTTTGCTTTCACTTTGCTTCAGATTGGGTGTGGTCTTTAGTCTACTACATGAGCAAAGCCTTTCATGTGTGCCTGGGCTGCCAGGCATTCTCCTTGGTCTCAGAGGTTTCAGCCATTTTAAGATGCCATCCTGTCTACTTGCACGACTGGGTGCAGACTGGAGTGCTTGGGGCCGTGTGAAGACCGACCTTAGTGCTCTTTATATGATGATCTGTTCCAGAGAGCAGACTCTGCTGGGGACTTTCTGTGAATGAGCTCATCAAATCCTCATAAACCTTGCAAAGCAGATATTCTTATCATCCCCACTTTATAGATGAGGTCCCTGAGGCCCAGAAGAGGTGAAATGACTTGCCTATGGTTTTAA